GGAATCAGTTTGGGGTTGAAATCGGAAATCCTGTCTTGTCATGTAAATTTTGAAGAGCCTAGTAGACTTTCGGCTGCCCTGAGCTACTTAGCAGTGTCATCCCTGCTGATCTTTGAGAATAACTGAAAATGGGAAAAAAAAAAAAAAATCATGCTTCACTTCTGGGATCAGCATCAACTTAAAAAACTATAAGTTGGTTGGAAAAAGTTAGAGCTTAAAATCAGCCACAACTTTGGTTTGGGTGTCAAAAACCCAATGGCAACTTCTTTTATTAAACAGAAAAACGGATTCGCTCTTGAAATGGAACAAGTTTAAGCAACACATTGCCAGATCCAAGCACTTAAAAGACATCTCACAAATCTATCAGTTTAGCTTTCCACATGTTACCTTCATTGTCAGGCAATACCTCCCAAGAGACAGCTCTCTCCCTCTCTCTAGGGCAGTGGGAAGATTGCTCAGCCTCAATTCTAACTGTACCTCTTACCAGTTTAGCAGCTCTAGAGAGAATAGGACACATTTTCCCAATAGTATTAAAATGTTACTTGCCAGTCCTGAGCTCCTTACTTTCTCTGGAGCAGACATCAGCTCCTCACAAACCACATGAACTGAGGCGGAATTAGGGGTGCTTTGACCAGAAAAAAAAAATACTATTGGATCAGAATAAATAACAGAAGGCCCACTAACAAGTTGTAGAAATAACTGAGGTTTTAACAACAGCAAAAATAAGACATATGGTTTCATAGAACTTTGCTAACACTACATAAAACTTGGGATCTATCTCACCACATATGTGACAGTAATCAAGATGGAAGATTTACTTAGTTTTCTTGTTCAAGAAAAGTGATCACTGTTGCCACACACTAAAATCCACTCCATCTAAGTGAATGATCCAATATGAAATTCTGGTAGAAGAACTACCACAAAACAAAGATCTGTCAGGTCTCTGAATGGACACCTTTCTAAATTTTGAAACAGGAAAAGAAAACGGAAAATGTCAGTGTTAAGAATTTGTACCTTTTGGTAGAACCAAATAAAATTAAAATTCCAGTTGGCTGGGGAACACAGCTGTACTCAGAATTCTTTCCTGTATCCACTCACTAACCTAACATTGGCTAAGTACCTACCCAGTTCAGGAACTGTGTGCTAGCCCAGACTCCCAAACAAAGCAGGCTACCTGCCTTCTCCAGGTCAGACATATTTTATTTTGATCTCCATGAAAACCTAATCTTAACACAGGCAGAGAGTGGGATGGGTTAAAAGGTTTAATTCACCCTTTGTTTCTTATTAATTTCAGAGACAAAGTGTAAACTACAATGCTTTAGCCCTCTGGCCAAGGGCATCTGTCTTCGCCCATCAAAATAGTCTTGGGGATCCCAGAGCCAGTATACAACCAGCTAACCTGGCAATGGTGTCAGGTGGCAAAAGGATCCTCCCTGGCCTTCAGCAACACCCTGTCATGACAACTTAGGTCATCCCCTCCAAAGAGGTGAAGGTTCTTACTGTTTTTGTTGTTTCATTCAGGGATAGGGCAGAGAATGTATGATGAGACTCAATTACAATGTTCTTGGACTCTACTTGAAATGATGGTGGAGAAGATCTTCCCTATTCTTTTACAGAAATTGCAAGTTCTGGTCCCTCTTTGCAACACAGGTATCAGGTAATATCTGCTTCCTCTGACAAGAAAAAAACTTTTGCCTGCAGGTGTTGGGAGGTCTTAGCCCCAGAATGGAGATTTTCTCTAGGAAGTTTTATCTGGGAAGATTTCCTGTTCTCACAACACTTTTCAGTGCCTTTAGTGTGTCCCCAGTCACTTCACATTTTTCTCAAGAAATTAGTAATCCTGTACAGGAGACAGACATGTAGCGTATGGAAAATACAGTGGGGTAAATTAAACAATAGAATATATATTAGTAATAGACATGATCTTGCTAGATAAATAGTTGGCAAGGTGACCAAGGAAATGTTAGTACTCAATTTTATAAAGAGAAATCTCTCTATCTACACTGACTCATCTAGTTCATACCAAAATATCTAGATCCTGATAGACAAACCAGAAAAAAAATATATGAGTAGATAATTCATACCTAAGAAAGACAAATGGTAAACACAGAAAATGTTCAACTTCTAATTGTCAGAGAAGTAACAAGTTTGAAGTGAGGTAGTACTTGACACTTAAAAGTGTAAATATGAGATCCGAGTCTGGTGAGATTGTGTTGTGACAATTTAAAAACCCTTTTTGGATAATTTTATTTAATATAAAGGGACATATCCAATGTCCTCAAAATTCAGCTACTGAGGATTTAACCTAAGGAAATGTTTTCAACCTATACATAAATATATTCATTAGAGAATTATTTTAATAGTAAACATGGAAGTAGTTTGCACATAAATAATATCAGATAAATTTTATAGTTATTTTTCTGGTCATTAAGACTACAGAAATAAAGGCTAAATAAAAATTAAGTAAGTAAACTCTTCTGTGATTTTGACCGTTCAGATTACTTATCAACGGAGGGTAATTACGGGGGAATTCATGGAGCTACCACTAGAGGGAGTGCTAACCAAGAGTTCGGGCTAAGTACAGAGGCATCTGAAGCATCCTGGTGTCTTAGGGGCCCAAACACAGGAGAAAGAGAGAATCAAAAGATAGTAACGATAAGTACAGAAATTAGAAAGTCACTTCCACAGGAACTCAGAGTACTCAGAGGATAACTTAATAATTATCAAAGGTATCTCTTCCCAAGGAAAGAAATGTTTCCTGTACCCTTCTCACTCAGCTTCTGAGAGCCCTTCAGGAAGGTGATTCCTGCCAGTTGAGCTTGATGCGCCATCTGTGATCTCTTTGGTTAGAAATTGTGTTGTTGGTTAGTGGTGTTTTTTTTTTTTTCACCCTCAATGAATTACTTTTTTTTTTCTTATGTCACGATCATTCAATTAAAAACAATGGAATCCCTGGATAGCTAAATGTGTGCCAGAAAGAACTCTGCTAAATTATGTGGACTTTTCCAATTTGCTCCTTGGAAATTTGTGGCTGCATTGAGTGAACCAGAAGAACTACGCTTGCATAAGACAATTAATTGCTGAGGAGGAAAAGGGTGAAATAAGGCAGGTGGAGATGGACACAGTCCATGCAAAGGGGACTGCAATAGGGAAACCTAAGAGTTTGGAACTTAGATCATTCTCTGAGAGCTAAGAAGAGCAGAAATGTTGGAGCCATGTACAATTGCATTTAAATATCAGTGTTCCCTGTGACTAATTGTCAGAGCTTGGGCAAGTCACCTTACCTCTCTCTTAGCCTTCATTTTTTTCCCTACAAAAGTACTTCCTGAAACTCATGGAGATAGAAAGTAGAAGGATGGTTACCAGAAGCTACGAAGGGCAGTAGTGGGGCAAGGGGGAGGGGAGTGGGGATGGTTAATGGGTACAAAAATATGGTTGGAAGAAATAAATAAGATCTAGTATTTGATAGCATAACAGGGTGACTACAGTCAATAGTAATTTAATTGTACATTTTTAAATAGCTGAAAGAATATAACTGGATTTTTTGTAACATAAAAGACAAATGCTTGAAGTGATGGATATCCCATTTACCCTGATGCGATGATTGTGCCTTGCCTGCTTGTATCAAAATATCTCATATACCCCTAAATATATACACCTAGTATGTACCCACAAAAATTAAAAAATTTATTCCCGGGGTTGGAGGATAAAAATTAACAGTAATCATTATGAAACATTTTTTCAGATTCTTATATAGCCTCATTGATTTACAAATACTTGCTACAAACACCCAGCTACTGGTTTAACAGTTTATCTCATGTCTCTGTTATCTTCAAATTAGAGGCCAGATCTGGATGTGTCCAGTTGGTGGGACATGGATGGCAAGAAGAGAGCATCTGAGAAAGGCACACTGGCAGCCAAGTGAGATGCTGACAATGAATACATAAGACAGCTGCAGTGCAGGACTATTTAGAGTAAGAAGCAAAAAGGAAGCTGTCCCAGAGTCATGAAGAATGGGTCAAATTATATTTTCTTTGAGTTGATAATAAGAACGAGAAATGCATGGTTAGGAATGACTTCTATCATAGTTGAGATTTTTAAAAAATTGTACTTAGCATGCTCAGTTTCTGCTTTCTGGTGTCCCCATTTATGGAAATACCTATCTGTTATTGTTCCCACAAGAGGAATCATCAGAACGGATGCCACTCTAACATTTATGAGCTGAGAGTTGGATGCTGTGTTTAACTGTTATAGTTTCATGTATCACCAAATGGAATCTCAGTTTTCAGAGTTAACTTCATCCAATACAATTCATTTTAAAAGAAGAGAAATTTCCATTGTCTTTACATTTGTTGCTATTGTTTTAATTAACATTTTAATTAAATGGATACGTTTCACATATGGAACTCAATTCTCTTTCCAGCCTAAGGGTTCTTGAACTAATGAGAAAAATCAAATCTGTCCATTTAATGTGGACAGGATTAAATAGCTGTTAGAATAATATTTTCCAAAGGACTTTGGTAAATTTAAAATATTAATTCTGGGTTTTTTTCTCACATATACATATTTTTAAAATATATTTATTGAATATATAAATCTATATTAATAAATGGCAAGATGTATCTAAAAAGGGTTGCGTAGCATAAGACATATAAAATGCAACATATGAAATGTAATATAAATACATAAAACATAATGCTCCGCATCTACTGTCCACCTACTCTGCAAACACTGCACTAGTCATCTTAAGAGAAGTGTTACACCAAATATTAAGAGGCTGTTAAAAAACCAAGGTAATCAAATAAGTTTGAGAAACACTAAGTTAAACAGAGTCAGGTCTTCCTTTTTTGAATTTTTTCACAAGTTATTGGGGTACAGGTGGCATTTGATTGTGTTAGTAAGTTCTTTAGTAGTGTTTTGTGAGATTGTGGCACACCTATCACCCGGGCAGTATGCGCTGCACTCTATTTGTAGTCTTTCATCTCTCGCCCTCCCCCCACTCTTCCCTCCAAGTCCCCAAAGTCCACTGTAACATTCTTATGCCTTTGTATCCTCATAGCTTAGCTCCCACATATCAGTGAGAACATATGATGTTTGGTCTTCCATTCCTGAGTTACTTCACTCAGAATAATAGTCTCCAATCATTGAGGTCACTGAAAATTCTGTTAATTCATTCCTTTTTGTGACTGAGTGGTATTCCATCATATATATATACACATACATACATACACACACACGCACACACATATATATTTATATATATGAAAGATATATAAACTGAGATATATGTAAATATATATATACACACACACATATATACACACATACATATATATATCAGTAAATATACACACACACACACACACACACACATATATAATCAAGAAACTGATATATATATATATACATATATATATATATATATATCCACTCATTAATTGATGGGCATTTGGGTTGGTTCTTTCTTTGTCCACTCATTAATTGATGGGCATTTGGGTTGGTTCCACTATTTTGCAATTGTGAATTGTACTACTTTAAAAATGCCTGTGCACGTATCTTTTTCGAATAATGACTTCTTTCCTCTGGGTAGATAATGCAGTAGTGGGATTGCTGGATCAAATGGTAGTTCTACTTTTAGTAGTTTAAGGAACCTCCACACTGTTTTCCATAGTGGCTGTACTAGTTTACATTCCCACCAGCAGTGTAGAAGTGTTCCCTGATCACTGCATCCATGCCAACATCTATTTTTTTTTTTATTATGGCCATTCTTGCAGGAGTAAAGTAGTATTGCATTGTGGTTTTGATTTGCATTTCCTTAATCATTAGTGATGCTGATCACTTTTTCATGTTTGTTGGCCATTTGTATATCTTCTTTTGAGAATTGTCTATTCATGTCCTTAGCCCACTTTTTGATGGGATTGTTTGTATTTTCCTGACTGATTTGTTTGAGTTCATTGTAGACTCTGGATATTGGTCCTTTGACAGATATATAGATTGTGAAGGTTTTCTCATACCCAGGTTTTCAGGGCATTCAGTGAGTTGGAAAGTTGGAAAGCACTTAGAGGGGGCATAGTACGTGTGCACCATTTCCCAAAATTATTAGATCATGGACCATTTCTCCCCAGAGGCACATATTTTGGGACCAGGGTTTGGCAGATGATACACTGGGAACCCATGCTGCAAAGGATACCACAATGGTAAAATCACAGTCTCCTTCCAAAAGAGGCTCATAAAGTAGATGATGAGACAAAGGCTCAAATAACTACATCAAGAAGAAGAAACTGCAAATATTCTGAGACACAAAGTTCTGAGTTCATCTCCCTGCAACATTTATTAAACATAAATGTAAGATAGTTGAGTTGATATTTTTTCAAGTTTGGATTATAAATTGTCTTTATTAGTCTATCACTGAGGCAGGGTACACTGGCTACATCTGTAATCCCAACACTTTGAGAGGCTAAGGTGGGAGGATCACTTGATCCTAAGAGATTGTATGAATGAATGAATGAATGAACGAACTGCCATTGACTGTCTCTGCCAACCATTTTACAAATATAATCTCACGAAAGTATCTACAAGGAGAAAACTATTTTCTTTACTTTTCCTGAAACTGATGGTTAGAGAATGATAGTGTCCTAACTAGTCTTATATATCTTGTCCACACAAGACTTAGGATTTGATGCTGTCTGCCTAACTGCAGAGCTAGAGCTGTATCTACTCCCACCTGTAAAATGTTCCTACTTTTCCTATAAATTACACTTGCATAATTGAAGAATTACTGAATTATATGAAAGTTCAAGAATACCAAGCAATAATATTGAACCATTCATCATGACCAAAAGAAAATTCCTTTGCACTAAAGTTTAATGTTTGACTGTAAAAACAAAACAGGAGAAAACCTTTAAGTTCTATTTTCCAATAAAATATCAAAACAGTGAAGAAAGGAAAGCCATATTAATATAGTGATAGCCTGCTAATAGGAAAAAGAGAAGAGTAAAATGCAGATATCATTGATAGCCTCGTTCTACGTCCAGTCACCTTTCCAAACCTTGATCGATTTCTTTTAGTGTTTTTCACTTCTATGGTCTTTTTGCTCTTTGTGAATACCAAAATCATATCTCAATTTGAAATACCTATTTCTTTTCAGCTTATTCTCAAATAGAATAATTCATGAGATAACCTCACATATAGATTTCAAGTGTGCACTATGCCCATTTGCCTCTGCTAGGTCAGAATTTCAATAACTTTGTTCATCAGGAGATTGGAAATCTAAATGTTAAATGTCTCCAACCACTCAAAGTCTATGCTTTCACTTCTATGCTGCCAGTCCTGCTTCAGTTGATTAGGTTCAAAGTGGAGGAAGGGAGGAAAAATTAAGGATTTGGGCATGGAAAGATTAATGGTATTTCAGTAGTCTTTGCTGAAGTGTTCATTCAAAGCTAGCTTTCTTAATATGTTTATAGCTACCACAGAGGTATTGTTTAAGATCTGCACTGGGAATGTATAAAAACTTCTATCCAAAATAACACGACTACAATAAGACCACAAATTCTAGTTCAATGTTTCACATGCACACATACAAAGACACATAATTCTCTTAAAAATATGAAATTTAACATTATTGATCACAGCAAAGAATGTTTTATGGTTTTTCAAGTTGCCTAGATGCAAAACAAAATGAATATTAAAATCTTGTATAAAAACAAAACTCGAAAACCAATCAATCTGCATCAATAGCTTTTCAGTTCAATTCTTTCCTAGAATCAGGGAGGTTGTTGTGGAAAAGAAGGGGAGAAGCAAAGGAATTAATTTAGCTTGAAAATTTGCTAAGTAATGAATTACCATATTCTCCAGAAACTTCACTGACAATTAGCATTCTAGCCTTGATCCAGGGGAGGAAAAATGCACTGCAGCTGTTTTACACACATCTATATCTGTGTTCAGTAAAATATGTTAGGTACTTTAAATCTGCTTATGTAATGTTGGCAAACAGATATTTTCCCCTTATTACAAATGTAAATGCTAATATAAAATTGATGCAAGCTTTAGCTGAGGCTCTATGGATCTTTGTGGTCTGCATTCCTGTCTGAATCCCTCTACATTCAGCTCCTCTGGGAGATATTTACAATCCCAGCTTCAACCAATGGGTGGCATCACGTGGGCTGCAATTGTGCCGAGGAAAATCAGCTAGAAAAAATGCACTTTTTCTCCTTCTCAGTTAATTAGGAGGATAAATGCCCAAAACACTGCAAAAAGCATGCTCCAAGGCTCACCTCCAACTTCACTTTTTCTGGAAAGCTGCCTCCTTCTTTTCACTTAATCTTAGCCAAAAGGCCAGGAAACAATGCTTCCTTGTTTTCTAAAGCTTTACCATGTTTCTAAAAATTCTTTTTTTTTTTTTTTTTTTTTTTTGAGACGGAGTTTCGCTCTTGTTACCCAGGCTGGAGTGCAATGGCGCGATCTTGGCTCACCGCAACCTCCGCCTCCTGGGTTCAGGCAATTCTCCTGCCTCGGCCTCCTGAGTAGCTGGGATTACAGGCACGCGCCACCATGCCCAGCTGATTTTTTGTATTTTTAGTATAGGCGGGGTTTCACCGTGTTGACCAGGGTGGTCTTGATCTCTTGACCTCGTGATCCACCCGCCTCAGCCTCCCAAAGTGCTGGGATTACAGGCGTGAGCCACCGCGCCCGGCTCTAAAAATTCTTAGATCTCTTTTCCTCCAGACTCATTTATTCCTTACAGTCTACTCTCAAACCATTTCATGGGTATCAGTTGTGCCCTCCCAGCTTCACTGAACATTCAAAGCCTCTTCACCGTATTCTTTGCCAGAGTTCTCCATGCTACCCAGCACAGTCCTGGATGCATACGAGTCTCTGACGGCTGCTTTTTGGTTGATTCTCTGCCCAAAGTTCCCTATCAGAAAGGCAGTCTCCCTCCTCCTGCAATCCCTACACAGACAAACAGAGGTAATCTAGCCTCCAGAAGAAGGTATTTCCCCATCACTTTTTAAAAATGTAGCACTGAAGTTAGACTTGGGGAGCATTCATGACGAGCCAGTTTGATTCATTGCTTAGGTCACAGATGAGTTTCACGTGCTTATAGTGTGTGCACAGGTGCATACACACACACATTTCTTTTAGCATTCCTGATGTCTAGAGAGCATGTCCACCTTGCCTTTGTAACTAAGCCCTGGTTTTCGTCTTAAAGGAAAAGATCTTAGGAAAACACTAAACCAGAATTGGATTTTCCACATAAAAACCACTTATTGTTTGGAAATCGTCTCTCGCATCTCCCCATTCATGCTTGTGATGCCCACTAACTAAGTGCAGCCACACAGCCTACACTTAGCTCACTGACTCCGTTCCAGACACGAGCTGACTCACCATACCCTTTCTGTAAGTAATTTAAGAGAAATTTATCACACTTGAAATAACCCATAGAGAGCGCCAAAATCATTTCAATGACAGTGTTCTGGTTCTACAGAAATAACAAATCTGACTCAAACAAAGATCAGGAGGTAGGAATCCAGACACTACGTATCATCAGAGCCCTAGACCTCCAACTTGCATTTCCCGTCCTAATTTGCTGGCTGATCAAAGGAGAATCCTCCACCCTGGACAGCCAGGAGGGTTCTTGCTATGCAGCTCAGCATTCCTGGTTCCACAGGTGGGTCAAGAGCCAGGTTCTTTTCTTGGATTCATTCCAGGGATCAAATGTTGGATCCACCAGTGACTACCCAGCAAAGGGTTAAAAAAAAGGAAGAAGACAAATCACAGAGAATCTGAAGCCTGACACATTGGAACACGTCTCTCCTGTGGCACTCAGTACCTTGCCGTAGTATTATACTGAGTTTGCTCTGTGCCAGGCATTGTTTCAAGTGATTCACACATGTTAACTCATCTAGACCACATAACAAGTCAATGAGGAAGGTGACATTACATTTGAAGGAACTGGGACACATAATATTGAAACCACATGGCAAGGGTCCATGGCAGAGCTAAGATTTGAATCCAGGCCTACTGGCTCCAGAGCCTGGCTCTTAATGGTCACACTTAAGTGGCAAAATAAATCCATGTGGTTTGGATGAGAGAAACTTGGTCAAATAGAGATCCAATCTCTATCTGGATTTAACCCTGTTGCAACCACACTATGAATTCAAGTAGCAGATGATAGAATTGCATATTTTTAATAGCTTTCATTGTCCAAGATAAAGACCCTTACAAGAGTATTCTTGGAAAATAATGAGGCCCTGCTCAGTTGTGAAGCCAGAAGTCCTGGCCTGCATAGCACTGGCATTCCAAGGTGGAGGGCTTTCTTCTGATCAGCCCACAAACCAAGACCAGAAATGAATATCAGAAAGCCCAGCCCCTTTCACAGACTTCTTGTTCTCCATCCAGGAGCTTGCACGGCCCTAATAGGGACTGGCACCAAGCCAAGCTCAGATTCTCACCTCCTCCTCCCAATTCCATGCATTTGCACAATTGCTGGTCAGGGTTCTGGGTACAAGTGTTGATAGTGCTGTGCTTTTTCTCTTAACATGTGGCGTTAAAATCCAGCTAGCAGTCCATGTGAGAAAGTACTCAAGCATCACTGAAACACCTCTTAATTACTCTCTGCCTACAGCCAAAATGTTATCAAATGATGTTAATGCAATCCCCTAACAATCTTTTCAACTCTTCCCCTTTTTTTCACCTGCCAGGCCACTGCTCTGGTGCAGGTTCTCACCAGCTCTCACCCAAATTCCTGTAACAGCCTCTTTACACCTACCTTCAAGCATCAGCTCAGCCCTCTAAGCCATCCTCCATACAGTATCAGGTGGCCCTTTTAAAATGCAAATCTCATCATGTAACTCCAAGCAAAAAATTCCTGAAGTGGCTCTCACAGACCTACAGGGAAGAAAATAAAAATAAAAATTCATAGGCATAGCATATCACGCTTTTACGTTAGTTAACAATATGCTGACATTTGTAGAGTTTACAAAACATTTCACATCTGTTTTCTCACTGTATTAGTCCATTTTCACACTGTTGATAAAGACATACCCAAGACTGGAAAGAAAAAGAGGTTTACTTGAACTTATAGTTCCACATGGCTGGGGAGGCCTCAGAATCATGGTGGGAGGGGAAAGGCACTTCTTATACAGTGGTAGCAAGAAAAAATGAAGAAGAAGCAAAAGCAGAAACCCCTGGTAAACCCACCAGATCCTGTAAGACGTATTCACTATCACCAGAATAGCACAGGAAAGACAAGCCTCCATGATTCTATCACCACCCACTGGGTCCCCCTCAACGCATGGGAATTCTGGGACATAAAATTCAAGTTGAGATTTGGGTGGAGGCACAGCCAAACCATATCACTCACTTAATCCTCCCAAGAACATGGCAGCCCCTAGCGTACCCTGTGGCCACGCCCATAGTGTTCTCTGTTTTTCCAGCTACACCAAGCTACTTGCCATTCTACCTGTTGGCTGTGTTCTTTGCATATGTTCTTTTGCATATACTATCATATTTTTAAATCTAGAATGCTCCTTTCTATATTCTCCATCTTATGAAAAAGTGCAAATCATTTTCCTCATCTGCTGTCTCCCTTTATCCCTTGCTTCTATTCATACCTAGCACTGTCCAGCCCATTTATTGCCTTTAAAGTGCTCTCCCACCCTGTACCCAGGGGCTGGAAAACTATGTGCTGAAGACCAAATCTGACCCACTGCCTGTTTTTTTAAATAAAGTTTTATTGGAACACGGCTATGCTCCTTCACTTCCTGTTGTCTATGGCTACTTTCACACTACATCCACAGAGTAGGCATGTGGCCCTAAAAGCCTAAACTGTTTAATATCTGGGCATTTACAGAAAACATTTGACAATCCTTGCTCTGTTTCATGCATGAAATCAACCTAATGCTCTAGGAGTTCCACGACTCAAGCCAATGGCATCCTACTGAAACCCTATGATGCAGCTCTGGCTCTAGGAGAGCAGCCTGAGAAGCAGACTGTCCTACTGGCAAGTGGTATATTTTTCTCATGAGATTGGGCTGGCAAAGTGATCCTGATACATTGAATTTAGGTGACTCTCATACATCAGACAAAAGATGAGCTTGGGATTCTCACTTACCAACAACCCCCTTCTGTGTCCTGAGCCGCATATGCAGTTCATGTACTGCCTACCATGCAGCTGTGTTTATGCTACGGTGTTTTTTATGGTCTCCAACACCCAAGAGAAGTAGGTATGGTGGTGAGCAACACTTACCCTCCTCCCCAACCACTGCACTCCCTGAACCTGGTTCCCAGAGCAGCATCCCACTCCCGCCACAGGCTCTGCACCACATGCCAGGCAGTTCTCTGTGAGTGGCCATGCTCATTTCTTCTGAGGGCCTTCCAGACTGTGGCTCTGCCATCGTTTGATCAATGTCCCTTCTTGTCTCTATCCAACGTGGTAACATCGTGCCCTCCCTGTTAGTCCTGGTTGATCTCTCAAGCCAGGAAGGGTGAGAGGCAACAATTCCTAAAAGGAATAGGACCATTCTTCCTTCTGTGTCCTTTCCACTAGCAGCAGTATATGGAAGGCAAGGGTATGGTCAACATTGAAAGAGATCAAATTCTAAGAAGGCAGTGATTAAGACATGGTTGTAAAATGTATCATCCTATATTTGTGATTTAAAATTCCAATAAGCAAATTTAACATGTCAGAAAACAAATTATCATTCACATATTTGGCATTATCTGAGTGAGATTTGCATTGGTGATGGTCATCAACAGTGCTCAGTACCAACCTTTGCGAATCACCTGAGCCAGTCTTCAGAAACAGCACAATGGATGGATGAGGCAGTGTCTGTCATGAGTAATGATGGAACCAAGCCCTACATAAACTGTGTTAAGAAACTGCAGAGATGAAAAGTTCTATATTGTTTCAATGCAAGCAGATTCAGAAGAGTCACGGCATGGTGACTAACAACAGCATCGTTGTCTTTTTCTCAGGGTTGAAAGATAAGTAATTAGCCCAGAATGGCACATTTGACAAAGAACTTGAAGAGCCAGTTCCTGGATACAACAGAAAGAGATGGTGCCTGGAAATGAAGAAGATCTTTACATGCACTGACTGGACAATAAAAAGTGCGTAAGTACCTCTTCTACACTGATAGTTCAAATTTTCGTCAGTAAACCACGGTATCTAGCATGGGATCACTGATTTTTTAATATATTTTTAATCTAATTGTTTATATAGACAGAGGCCTCACAAAAAATTATTTGCATGTGCTCACTCTGAGGTGATCCTCTGGCCAGGGAAATGTCATACTCTGGTAGATCAGGGGCAGGTCAAATCTAAATCCAGGCCAGGCAAGTGCAGTCAACTACCTCCAAATTGCAGGGACTGAGAGTGAGAAAGGAGGAGTTTCTCAAAAGGAAAGGAAGCTACTATTCTAGGGCTAGGAAAACAGACCCAGCACAAGCTAAAATCCATAGATATTCACATCACCCCATGCAGGGTGGGTTAGTGTCATTTCTCTTACATGAGAAACTTCAGGAATGGACGAGTTGGGCCATTTGTCCAAGGCTCTGTAGCAAATCAGTCAAGAGACAAGAGCTACATTAAATCTAACAAACTAACTCTGCAACTTGCTGAGATCATCTACATTTGGCAATCACTGATCAAATCCAGGGCTTTGGATCTGGCAAGGGCTTGGTGTCAGAAGATGTGGAGTCACTCCAGCTCCTTCATTTGCTAGTTGTATGATATTGAACAACTTAACCTCTCTGAATCTGTCCCTTTGGGTACACAATTTGGACTAATAATAATGCCCTTGCAGCACTGACATTATTATTAAAAAACAATACTCATAAAGAATTAAGCCTAGTATACTATTAACATCTGTGGCAGATATAAAGGATAGATATTATTGTATTTTATTTTTAATAGACTCAAAAATAGCATGTCCTATGTGCCAGTTGCTGTTCTAAGTGTATCATGAATAGTAACTCATTTGATGAGGTAGTGCATCCTCATTTTATAAATAAGGAAACTAAGGCTCAGAGATGTTTCAGTGACTCACCCAAGGTCACAAGCTAATGAATGGGTACCAGGCTTCAAACCCAGGCAGTCTTCCACTGTCACTAAACTCCACTGCCTCCAAGGAAAACGTAGTTATTATTATCATTCAATAAGTGGTGGTATTTTATTGCCATTATTGTTATAGATGAGAAAACCGAAATCTAGAGTCATTAAAATAGAAGTGAAGCTAAAAATAAATCCTGGGTCTAATGCTTCTCAGTCCACTGCCCTTTGAATCTGCTGCACCATTGCCTACTGAGAGGAGAATTACATAAAGGAGAAGTAGTAGGATCATGTATCTTCTGACAAATGAGATCTTTTATGCAATATATCAGGTATTATTAACAGGGAGAACAAGATTTTCTTTCCATAATAGACTCTAATTGTGTGTAAAGCAGAAAGAGAAAGTGAGCGAACCTTTCCTTGTTTCTAGGTAGAAATAAGAAACACTACAGAAGTTCTAAGTTCCCATGGGTTTGAGAGTCACAGTGCCAGTTTATAAAAACAGCAGTATCATGATTCCATTTCAAAAGCACAAAAGTGACTCCAGAGAATTGTTAGTGTCTGCAGAGGATTAAAGAATGTGCTGTGGAGAAGCTGCAGTTTTGGAAGTTAGTGTGAGTCCTCAGATCTCCAGGGAGTTCAGTCCTAGCAGTGCAGCTCCTTCCTTGAGATTGAGATGAGGCTGTCACAAACTCAATGCAAAAATCCCCAGAGCCAGCCCCGCTCTTAGTATTTTCCTAGAGTTTCACTTCTCCCTACTCTGGAGAAACTCCTCCTCCCCTGAGGTTCATTTAGACTATGGTATAAACCAGGAGTAGGTGAACTTTCCATAAAGAGCCAAATGTAAGTATTCCAGGCTTTGAGAGATCTACAGTCCTGGTCCCAGCTACTCAACTCTGCCATTGTAGCAACAGCTCCTATGGACAATGCGTGATGCAATCAGAGTGGCTGTGTTCAAATAACCTTGTTTACAAACACAGACAGTAGGCGCGATTTGGCCTGTGGGTTGTCATCCCATGACTCCTGGCATGAATCCTTTTCCCATGTAGATTCTACCCACTAACTCCTGAACCTCCCATCATAGTCACCAGGAGCTTTCTCACTGGGCTTGCAGTCATTAGTCTGAGCCTCCACTACATGCCAAGCGCTGGGCTTCCCTTCTTCCCCAGCAATGGGCATCAACACTGCCCATGTCTTGACCTGCTCAGGTCCAATAACTTTTATTCATTCCCGATTCACCTTAAACACTTACCCCACAGTACATTCAGTAGCCAGTCATTTGGCCTCTGATTCCTAAACTACCCCAGTCTTTGGTCACAAACCCTGAACCTTCCTAATTTCCTTACTGCCCACTTTATCTTCCCCATCTCAGCATGCTGTGCTGCTCTGTCCAACACAGTAGCCACTACCACATGGGACTGTAGAGCACTGAAAATCTGTCTAGTATCAATTGGGATGTGCTGTACGTATAAAATACACACCAGATTTCTAAGGCTTAGTATTAAAAAAAGGAAAGATCTGATTAAATTAATTACATGTTTAAACTATATTTTTGATATGTTAGCCAAGTATATTATTAAAATCAACATAAACTCTCTTATAATGTGTTGTAGAGAATTTTACAATGGGCACAGGGTGGGTTGCATTTGTGACTTGCATTAAATTTGTATTGGGCAGCACTGTCTTAGATGTCTCCCTTTTTCTCCAAATCATCAGGCCATGCTCATCTGCCCCACTGTTTCCCTATTTAGCCTAGGCCTCATGACATGTTACTCCAAACCCTTCTGTACCAGGACCGCACAGCTCTCACCCCATTGTTCTTCTTTCATAGTTACTGTACTTACCCCCCGCAAACCAAACAGCCACCATCTGTGCTCTTGCAATGTGGAGCACTAGAGAATGAAAACTACCCAATTCTGCAGAGAATTGAGCCACCTCAAGTTCACAGCTTTGATGTGTATTGGACTTGTAGTATGGCTGCTTTTTTTCTTTCTTTTACTCCATGTCAGCATCCAGCTTTTACTTCGGATCGTCCCTAACACCCTTTCAAATCCTATCTCTAGCTGTTTGCTCACAGCAGTTCTCCAGTTTCGGACACACTGACCACCCTTGCTGCCCTTTGCTTCAGTTCACAGCTCCAAATCCTGTATCCTTCCCACAACGCCCAGTTCAAATTTCTCTTAGGCAGTGAAGTCCTGCCTGTTGACTGCAGAACATGAGTTGGCCTGCTCTGAAGTGCTACGGCACCAATTCTCTGCAAGATGTATTCAGCTCCTTGTGAAGTGAGTTATTCCTTTACACCTTTAC